AACACTGTTGCTGAGCTCAGCTGAGATCACGTCTCTTGAACAAGCTTGACGACAGAGAGAGACTTTCATTCCGACAAGGCAGGTTCGGTATTTTCCGGGAACATACAAACGCAAATTGAACCTGGATAAAGGAGTCACCGGTAAGCCTGTTGGAGTTATCAAAGAATTTTACTTATCTATATTTGCCGAATGTTCTGCGATTCTCCAGATAAACTCTGCTGCATGAACTGAAATTAATCTCATATTAAAATTACTGATAATTACACACACGCATCTCGTCAAACGAAATTCTCTGCAAATGGCGTAAATTTAAATTAAAATTAAGAAGAACGCGATTCTTAAGTGGCGCACTACGCAATTACCAACGTTTCGGAGAAGCATAGTGCCTTCATGTTCAGGGCTGAAGACCAACATCGACATCTTCACCGCCGTGAGAACCTGAGATCTCACAGGAATCGATATGTTCAAGATATAAATGAGATTTAGAAACCACCGTTTTAAATATTTATCTAGAGGACCAATTTTCTCTTTCCCCTTCCGTGAACACTTTATCTCATATCCGATTTTCAAATTTGTAGTAAGGAAAGCGGAAAATACATTGCTTATGCATAAAGCAAAAGGAGAGAATGGGGAAATATGAGAGAATAAGAGTTGGGCAAACACACGAAACAGGCGGAAAATGAATAGTGAAAGTAAGAGAGACGAACCCGGTCAAGATCAAAGATGGCGAGACACGACATCCGTCCAGCCAGGCGCGTGAACTCACCCTGACACAGACAGCAAACGAGTTACAAGCGACGAAAGATTCCACCAAAATACATTACACCTTGCATTCTTTTACGCAAATTCCAGGAACGAGTTCGCACCGACACTAATGTTTCTGTCGTCAGAGTTGAACAAAAAAATTCTGAGTATAACGAATTTCATGCCACACCCCCAAAATAAATCGTGTCATGCAGCTGAATGCGAGAACAAGGGTAAAATTTAAAACGGTAACAAATTCGGTGGCCTCTGCATTCCACCAGACCATAGGCTGTGTACATAAATAAGAGTAATATAACTTGCTAAAACATCTACGGCATGATTTACAATAAACTGTTTGTACACCAGAATTGAATTAAGTTGTGTGCACAGTATAAATATTAGAATGGAGTAACTATTAGATATTTAACACGCGCAATAGTAATGCTACCATTTGAATAAAAGTGCTGGAATATACAGACTCATGTATAGGTTGGAGAAAATGTGGATATCGGTTCAATAAATAATTACTATATTAACATTCAATGAACAAGAAGTGCACAGACTTGACTGGTGGGGCACAGAAACAGAATTTGCCTTAGCGCGATTCTCATGGATAATATCCAAGGAAATCTTTTATTCAAATGACTCTTCACCATCGTCAAGAAGTTTTAGATTTGAAACAGAAAACATGTTTGCCCGGATTCGAAGAAAGAAACAATTTTTATCTCGCCCATGGGTGATGGGGTCAACACCGCCCGGGCCCCTAAAAAATCATCTTTAAAATTAATCAAGTATAATAAGAACCTGACATTTTTAAGTAAAGGCAAATGAAATTGCAATTTTTCTTCGTGTCTCTTACTTATTTCCTTCTTACAGAGAACACATTTAATATTAATTGTTGACTTTTTTACAGAACGAATTAAATGTAACCAAATTATAACATAGATTAATTCTCTTTGTATTATTTTCAACTACCAACAATGCAAATATCGAACGACAATGCTCAGCTTTTATATGAACACCTGCGTGTCTAACAAAATGTTTTGGAATTTATAAATCACACCTGGCATAACAATTAAAATTGTTTCGTCACAGTTTTCGTTGGCATTGTTGTATTTCTTTAGTATGTATTGCCGTCAACAATCAGCTTTTCTTAGTCTGAAAAGAACTGAGCTGTGTAAATCGCTTGTAGAAAAAGTGCTATTGAAGAATACTGCCTTACACTCTCTGAATTTTGTTATTAATTCTATTGTTTATTTCTGGTGGACATCTAGATAGGTAAGGGCTTTTTCTCGTTTTCTTGTTATTATTATTTATCAACATATTTACATGTGTTATTAACACTTATGAACTCTTGCAAGAAAATGAAGCCACGTTCTTCCTTTCTAACACAATTTCAAATAATGTTAGACTGACTTTACATACCCTAACTGTATAATTTCTGTAATCGTTGGTAATACCAAGGAAGACAACTGCTAGCTGAGATACATGTACCGAGCCAGGCAGCCACCGATAAAGCAGTCCTGTGTCTTTTAAAGTTCTGTAAAAATATTTTAATTTTATCTCCTAAGTCCTGGATTTCACGCACACGAAGCGAAATTAAACCCAACCATCAACTCTGAGTGTGGGTTCCGTAAATCAAATGTCATTAAATCCCCCGGAGTCGTCGCGGAGATGAAAAATTCTGATGGATATTCACATTACGCACTACGCTGTTCATGAAAATCAATATCTGCCCATATTACGGACATCTTAAATCTCTGTTAACGAAGCCCACGTGTTTCACATGTCAATTCATAGAGAAACTCCAAAGGGCAAACATGAGAGTGTATTTCATGTGCTTACGACTGTATACAGACTGAAACATGCATACATATTTGGTGCTGATTTGTGTGACATCCACGGCGTTAGAATTTGGTGCAAACAAAGTGAAATTCTAGACTCTTGCCATAGTCACTACGCAGTCCGTTCCCCTTAGCAACATCGGCTCCGGGCTGGAAGGACGCCACCCCCTCGCCAAAGTTCTTTGGCGTAAGCGCGTTTGTCCATTTCCCCCTGAGAACAGCTGTAACCGTTCGAAGAAGAAAGAACAAATTCACTTTAAAATACGCAGAATAATGAGTTCGGAAATCAAACTGCTCTAATAAATCGATGGATACAGACTAGCTTAGTCTAGACAAAGTACGTGGAAACAGAAGTATCAAGAGAATTGGACTTGAGTTACCTAAATTAGTATATATATAAAAAAAGTTGTCAGTGAAACCACGGTTCCGGAGAATTTGACGTAAATACGTCTTTACGGAAAGGAAGTTTATATATTGGCTTCATTCTAAATATTTCCTTTATACCCGCTTTACAATTGAGATAAGTTTGATTAAAACATTGCTTATTTAACTTGAATTAGTTACGCTTAAGATGGGTCTGTGGTAGATGAATGCAATGTAATGTAATGTTTTATAGGTAACAACAATGTTAAGTAAACAGATGACGTTTCCTACGTAACATAACAATGAAGTTACACTTTTTCATTCCCCTTTTTCGTAACACTTTTTTGCCGAATAACCCTTCCTTATAGACGTATTTACGTCAAAATAATTCTTTTACTGTCCCTGTTCTTAACGCAACCCTTCCAAAATAAATAAACCAATCTGGCTTACATTAATAATTATCTCAAAATTAGGGCGCCATTTTTCAAATTAGCAACCAAACAAAGAAGTACTGTCCTAACTACTCAAGAAATATCAATAAGACTAGTTTGAGAAACCAATACTTTAATACCTATCGACAACAGTCTGTAACAAATATCAAGAAAAACAAACTAATTCCTGTTGCTTTTAAACAGAATTCAATACCAGTTTCTTCTGGAAAAAATATTAAATTACGATGACTACGTATGCAATTCTTCAATCACATTAAACTCGTTATGAAGACTTTCCATAGGCCTAATTTTTTTTACGAAACGTTACAATATTAAAAACGGAACACCAAATAACAGTTGGCATCGTCGATTTACATAAATATGTCGTCACGCCTCTAGTAAGTCCATTAAGTTCAAAATCCTATAGTAGGCTTATGGGGAAAACAAACTCCAGATATTTTACAAAAACAGTCCGAATCCTGCTTGAGCGACTTTTATCTGACATTTCACACGTGTAAACGAAACAGTCACCAATGAAGCATCAATGCCTAGATAAGACAGTGCAAGTGAGTGAATGAGATGGCACAACTTCAATTTTCAGAGATAGTGAGATAGGAATATAGATTTCGTTTTAAAAAAAATTATATCTTACTTGCTGTTGGTCGTGTGACAGTCGCAGCATGTAAACAAAGAGCGAACAAACAACACGCATCATTAGTTACACACGAAACAGAATGAGGAATGCATGCATACAAAAACACAGCAGATGAATACAGTATCCAGAAGGCGATGTGCACTGAACTGCGAAAAAAAGGAGACGAACTGAATGTTGTTAGCAAAAAGCAGCGATCACTCTTACAAACTATATATTAGTTCTAGCTACACACTAGTCCACCACGCCCAAGCCAATCATTACAGCTAGAGCATATTCATTCAGTGTCTGTGGATTACGGAAGGCAAATAAAGCATTTGGAAGGAAGCGGGCTTGGTTTAATTCGAGATACTACCCCGGAAACCTCATTGAAGAGCCTGAGGATAAAATCAGCCAGGCCAAGTTCAGAACAAATATAAATTTAAATTGGAGCGTTACCACCACTTTTCGAAGCTACTCGTATCTCGGTTTGTGTTTTCGCGTAATTAAGCAAACATTCTGAGAAGACTTGTGTTTTCGCGTAATTAAGCAAACATTTTGAGAACACTGATCTAAATTCTGGATGGTCGAAATCAGCTCAATTACTTAATATTCACAAAAAACATTTAAGCTTTGGAGTCGAATTTGCAATCCAAATCCGCATTCACTCTCGGCAAAGGAGGCAGATGAAAGCTAAAACACAAATACTAGAATAATATTTGGTAGCTGATAACGTTTATCCACATTAGCAAACTAATGCGTAGCTGAGATTCAATTAGCAGATTCCGATACGTGATCTTCTGTCACCACCAACTGATTTTCAAAGCATCTATGAGGCGAGCTACTCTAATGAAGACAGACGTGTAGCCCTAAACACACATGCAACTCCTATCTATGAAGTTTACGCCGTCCGAAAGAGAAATAAGCGAGAGATTAAAGTAACTTCCAACTCCGCTAACATAGAAGAGGGCCTGGCTTGGTGCATACCGTACTTCCTTGCGAGCCAGTCGTCAGGAACGGTGCAGTAAGATCCAGTGGGGTCCACATCCCCTAGAGAGGGCAGTTTGCTGGGACGACCAAACGCTGACCGCCACCTCACACCAGCCAGCTGACCTGCTCCATCACACATGACACGTCTACATAGCAATACAGTACACTCAACACATAAAGCAAATGCAACACCAGCTAGTTTAAGCACACATGAGAAAACCTGGAAATGTAAACCAGCATCAATTAAACATGACAGAACACACTATCGCACTTCATTTATTCTTGGTTCATTTAACAACGCTTTATCAACAAGAGCCGACTGGTAAGATGAGTGTGAATTGTAAATTATGTGGATGGAAATTATCGTGGCCTATTTTAATGCGCCATCCCAGTATTTGCCTACAAGAACTGAAGAAACTCGCTAAAAATCTCAATCAGGATAGCTGGTTCCCAGGCCAAGATTTGATCCGGATATTCTGACAGGTTTAGTTCTTCTCAGTCCCTCCAAAAAAATGCCGGGACATCTTAAAATAAATTACGACCGCTTCCTTTCATATCTTTACCAGTACGTCATTCACGATCACACTCCCGTTCAATGCTACGTATGCACTTTGCGCATAATACGCGAAGCAGGCAGAGAAAATCATATGTTCGTAAGAAGAGTCATCTTTTTAACACTAGTGGGGACATTAAAAATATCTGGATGGGTGTATGGATGATGTGACCACATTCATACAGATCGATCTGTGTATCCGGAGAGACGTGCGAATAGTGAGTAGCCCTGTACAACTTAAATGGAAGCTATAAATAACCCCCAGCTCCTATACGACTCATATGAGCTGCAAATTTTTATGCCGGCTGTATACAGAATTGGAAATGTAATATGAAAGATTTTAATATGGAGCTACACGTTATTACCGATATGCAGGACTTCAAAATTATGCCAAATTCTATTAAAAAGACTCGTCCTAGGTGTGTACATCTGTCGGCAGGGTCTGAAATAATTCCATACCCACTCACGGTCCCACAATTTCGTATCCAATGGATACAGGGAAACCTTTTCTCAAAGTATCACAGCCGAATCGTTAACGCTGACCACTGACCTACATGTAATACATTGGGTAGTATGTTGGGTGAGCCCTCTGAATCATCAATACACACTGGTGAAGAGAACAATGCTATCCCTGTCGGCAATCGAACCCAGGTCGTCCAGCCTACAGCCCGTCATTTTGTCGACTGAAATATTCTGACTACACCGACAACTGTCACCATGTAAGATTTGAGGTTTTCACAGCGGTTAACATCAACCAGACTACACAGCGCAACAACCCAGAAGACAGAAATCTTCAATTGTCGCTATACTATGCCAAATTTTATTCAACCCATTATTCAAAATCCATACAGAACTGTTCTCATGAAGATAGAAATTTTTGGTCGAATAGGATCTACTAGTACACACTGTGCGACCACAGTGTCATCAGGAAATGTTCAGTCAATCACACCTCTTGATTTGACTCTGAGCCAGTCTGACCAGAGTCTCAAGTGTCCACATCACTATGTCTCTGTGCAGAGATGAACATCATGTCAAATGTGGTGCACAATTTTCATGGACTTATGTCAAATGACTCATTTTGACCAGGAGTGTTCTCTGGTAACTCCATACTTTTTCGCACATTGCATTGGTAAATTATACTTAACTGAACAAAACCCTCCAATATCAGAGCCTGATATTAGATACAATCCTGAGCCAAAGATGGCTGTCTGTAGCACTGTGTAGTCTACCTTACTACATGATGCTACAACATAGAAGACAGCCATCCTTTCATTACTCTTGTTTCTAGATAATTACATTTTGAAATATTCTCAAAGGTTCATTACCTATAGTTATAATATGAAATAATTACAATTAGAAACTATATTTTGTACTAATTTTCAGAATTTCTTTGAATTTGAGAACTATTCCACAACATGTAAACAAGAATTTGAGCCCAGAATCTTCTACCAGACACAACTATTTACAATATGGAACATTTTTAGAAACAACTGAAATAAGATTTTGAAAGATTTCAAAGATTAACATTAATAAGACTGAGTTCAAACGCGGGAAATACACTAGCATATTTTATGTACAACCTCTGTATGCAGACTTCAACTGAGTTGTGTTACATTTGCCATGTATCAAGGAACCATAATCCTTATGGCATAATTATATTCTAAGCAGCTCTTATACATAATGAACTTTGGATATAACACATTTAGCAAATAACTTAATTCTTCTTAAAATAAAGTTAGAATGTAAAAAGAAGTTGTTTAAACTACAAAGCTACAACAACATAAATAATGTGTCAGTATAATTTAATACTGCCAGTTTTTCCACTGGAAGAGAATAAATAACATGTTTATAAAATTCTGAAAAATAATTTCATTACATAATTAAATAAACACAGTATGCATAAATGTTCCGGGAACATATGACATAATCTGTCTTCCACATAGTAATACTTAACAACAATGCAGGCCGGAATATTCTACACATGACAAATGTTCAGGGCAGTAACATGTGGCAATTTTTAAATGCAATGTTACAAAATAATTTAAGGAACATTTTAAAAACTGAAACTTGCTTCCTAAAGACCCTCTTTTGCCTCCCTAAATACCCTTCCATACTCAGAATGTATGACTAATGTTGGATTTCTTATGGAAATTGCATGTAATACATAAATAAATGCTTGCTTTAAAAATGCAGTATGTGATCTGTTTCTTAGAAAAATAAACATACATAGCAAACTCCCACGAAAAAGAATAAAACTGGTGTTTATACTGAAAGAAAGAATAATTCTGAGCACCAATTTAGTTCTAAATGGTCTTGAACTAACCCTTTATACTTTAATAGCACCAAATAAATAAATAGAAAGGCTTGAATAAGAAACTCTCTTATATAATAAAGTATTACCTTCATATTCAGCTTTTCTTTTCTCTGACTGAAACTCCTGTAGGGCTGTGAGAAGTGCCGTCCTTTCTTCTCCAGTCAACCGCATGATTAAGTCTTGTGCCTGAAGTTTTGTTAGTGGTCCTGTCAGTGAGTGTATTTTTTCTTCTTCTAATGTCGATGTAGAGCCACTGTACAATACTCTGTGTTCTTTTTGTACATACTGCACAACACTTTTATATGCTTGTACCTGGTATTTATTTCCTGACACTAGTGAACCTACAAACAAACTTCTGTTATTTATATTTGGCGCCCCTTGTAATGACGTATAGAAACGGCTAAGCCTATTCTTCCTGTCGGTAGAAAAACGCGAGTTCCAACAGTTAATAATGTTTCGTATTCCCACATGAAAATATCCATTTTGAGTTCTCAAAGCCATATTTCCAATGCTTACGATTGCATTCACGGTCAAGCAGGAATACATTTCTGTAATAATTTTACAAAATGTATGGAGTTACGTAGACCATTCACTTACTAACCTCTGGCCGTGGCCATGATGTTAGAATCACCTCATGCGGGTGACAAGTGAACTGTTAGAGAACACTTGACGTTTGGTATTCGAATGTAAAACGTTTGCACATTAATATTACTACTAGGTACATATGGTTTAATTTGCGTAAAATATAAATTTATAAAATTATTTGACACAGTAAGTGTATTTGTTTTGCAGTAAACATCTTAATATTAAAACATGTTACTAAGGGAAGAGGTTTTATATACTTTATATAAATTTTGTGAGGTTATGTAATTTTGATTCATAACTTGTCACTGCCTATTTGGCAGCTGTATTAATTTTAATGCAATAATAAAAATTCACAACACTGATTTTTTTTCTCTCCAGATGTACGTATTAAGCCGTTTCCTTTGTTACAGGTAACCTATCTTTCACAATGGCCAGTGGGTCATCAAATGATACCCAGCTAACAATTGCTCAGAAAACATGGGAGATGGCCAATAACATTGAAACTATTAGCATTATTGATGAAATATACCGTTATGATCGAAAACAACAACAAGATATTCTCGCAGCTAAGCCATGGGAAAAAGAGTAAGGATATGTAGATAAGAATATCAAGGTGAAATAAAAAAGCTAATGTTATGCTTCTTGAAAACAGTGGATCATATCTTAGGCAGCACTGTGTGTCCATCTGAGATTGGCTGCTAAAATTATGTTGTTGTCCATATTAGTCCTTAGATATCCTGTGTATGCAAGAATATATGCTGGAGCTATCTTTGCATTATTAGAGATGAGTGATTTTTTAAACACTGAAATTGTAGTGAATGTTATTTGTGTGTAATTGTAATTTTAAACCGAGGCTATGATCACTGATACTGTTATCAGTTGTGTGACCCTACAAGCTGGGGGAAAGAGGGTTTGGGAAGTGGGAACAGGACATTACTTTGTTATTCACTTATTATTTAATGGCTATTAGATTCAGATGAGACATGCCTTTCCAATTTAAAATTTAAAAATAGGAGTAGTTTGGTTTTTTTGTAGTGTTGACAGTACAGAAATCCAAATATAAAAAAATAAGGCAGGAAGTCAGTTTCTAGTTAAACAGAGTATGTGAAAAGAATACTGAGGGTATATAATAATATCTTCCATTTGATTGTTTATCAGTCTATTGGTTATGGCAATAACCAGTTTCCTCATCAGCAAATGATTCATATAACTCCAATGCTGAATTGGTTAAAAGGTGCTTAGCCACTTATGTATCTGCTGTGGCTATGGACATTGTCTGGTCTACACAGTGAAATATGAACAGTGACTTCAGCCACCAGTAATTCAAGTTGCTCCTGTTCTTATGCAGTTAGCAGTCACTTGGCTACTTCCAGCATATATTAAATTTGGGTCAAATCTAGGCAGTGAAACGCAAATAGCGACTATAGTCACCACTTCTAATTCAGAGTCAATGGTAATTGTTTAGAAATAGGTATGAACAGAAATTATTAGATGGCACCGATATGTGGATAGATGGATATACAGACAGAAGTAAAGATAAATGTATTTGTTAACATATAAAATAAGAAACAGGGGTTGAATGTTACATATATGAAATCATCACTTTGTTAAAGTACTTAGACTCTTATATTGTGTTATGAAACTGTGTGTTGCAGCCCACATTTTTTTAAAGATATCAAGATTTCAGCTCTTGCTTTGCTCAAGATGGTGATGCATGCTCGATCAGGTGGTACACTTGAGGTGATGGGTTTGCTCCTAGGAAAAGTAGATGCTAATACCATGATGGTTATGGACTCCTTTGCTCTCCCAGTGGAAGGCACAGAGACTAGAGTTAATGCACAGGCACAAGCATATGAATACATGACAGCATATATTGAGGCAGCAAAACAGGTAAGAAGAATATTCTGTACCAAATTTTAACATACTGCATTCATAAAGAGTGCAGTAGTTATATCCCAACAGAGGTCAGACTGTTTGTAAATAACATAATTCAATTAAATGTCTCTAATTAAATACAGTTTATCAGTACTTTGAGTAAGTGTGTCTGAATTGTGCTTTTCTGTTGTTATGAGAGCACCTACGAGTTTTAAATGTTGTATTTTTTAACATTGTTCAGTTTGGTACAAATGACCACAGTACTATATTTTTGTTTAGGTTGGTCGACTAGAGAATGCCATTGGCTGGTACCACAGTCATCCAGGATATGGTTGTTGGCTCTCAGGCATCGATGTGTCTACTCAGATGCTTAATCAGAACTTCCAGGAGCCTTTTGTTGCCATTGTAATTGATCCTGTCCGAACAATTTCTGCTGGAAAAGTTTGTCTTGGGGCTTTTAGAACATATCCAAAGGTTAGTGAAGTTATAATACCTAACAGACCTATGGGTGTGACATAGAGTTTCAACACAGCTAATATAAAAGCCTTCCATTGGACAGAACACGACTGTTCCATTTCTCATCTTCACATTCTGTTGACCTAAAGTCTATGCGAATGTTATTTATCCCTTACATCTCCTTCATCTTCCAAGTGGCTACTATACATGTTTTTCCACCAGGATTGTTATAATGTTGAGATCAATCAAATTAAAGTGATAAGAATGGCACTGCAATTTCAGCATTATTTAGACTTTTATTCCTCCTTTCAATCCCTGTGTCTGATTATTCTCCTCAGTAGTGATCTGACATAAAACATAGTCTTATACAAATATTTTGTTGGTACTAGTGGTTTGTTTTTATTACTGCAGGGATACAAGCCTCCAAATGAAGAACCGTCAGAATACCAAACTATACCTCTCAACAAGATTGAAGACTTCGGTGTTCACTGCAAGCAATATTATTCTCTTGAAGTGACATACTTTAAATCGTCTTTAGATCGCCGTCTGCTAGATTCCTTATGGAATAAATACTGGGTGAATACGCTAAGTTCATCTAGCCTTCTGACTAATGCAGATTATACCACTGGGCAGATCTTTGATCTCTCTGACAAACTGGAACAGTCTGAGGCTGCTCTTGGACGTGGAGGCTTTATGCTTGGTGGGGCTGACCCACATGACAAGAGAACTGAAGACAAGTTATTGAAAGCCACAAAGGACAGTTGCAAAACAACCATAGAGATAATTCATGGCCTTATGGCTCAGATGATTAAGGATTGCCTTTTCAATCACATTAAACCCAAATATGAAACATAAAATACAACACTATGTATGACATAATTTTTAAACAGTTTCAAAAAAATTGTCTCTTCTAATGATATGGCAACATGATTAAAAAATTGGTGCAAATAAAGTGAAATTATCACATTTGGAAGTTAGTGTACTATCCCCAAGTGGTAAGAAAATTTGAGTGCTGCTGATTTCAGCAAAACATTTGATAAAATGTGCCAATATGACAAAGAATTTATGGAACAGCTGTTTCAGTTTCCTTTATATTTTTTCTGAGTACCACTTTCCAAGGATTCATGTTTCATTCAATAACGTCCTATGTTTTGAAGGGCTGTCATATTTACCTGAATATTAAATTTCCCAACATTAAAAACTTTATATTAAATATAGAGTGAATCTTACAACACTGGCACATCCTGAAATTCCTTTGTAAGAAGTCTAACATAAATTAGACAAAATGAGATCCTAACCCATATATAAATGTCAGAAGTGTAATACTTGGTACTGGACTATACATAGGTGGGAAAATGTTTGTGGGGTGGACATGGCTGTACTTCTTGCTTTGAACAACACCCATTGCTTCATTTCTTTGCTGACTTTTTAAGGGTTTACTTTAATTGGACTGAGCAGAAATAATATGAGATAATAAGAAAGTTAAATTCTGGAAACTGTGGTAGGAGTAAGGGACATAATATCAGAAAAGTCTTTGCACTAAAGTTTTTGAAACATGAACTTTTTGTTACATATGGCTTCACAATGACCCATAATTTTATTTATTTAATACACAAAAATGCTAGAAAACTAAAGCCCCTCATTAAAATAAGCACCTTAGAGGTAGGCTTTCAATTGCTACTGATTGGACAAATAAAAATCCATGACAATTTTGAAACTATCACACTGTGTACTGTGGTCAGATGATGGGTAGTATAGTAAAGGTGAAGAATACTGTGAGGTTTAAATTAAAAAAATGCCCCTTTTCCATAATGACATTTTTTTGAAAGTCAAACAGAATCTCAACTGAAGGTAACCTTCAAGCATAAAATCCATTACAACACAACTGTAGACTCAAAAGGTATTCTTTTTTCTCATTCTCAATCCATATGAAGCAGAATTATGCTTTTCAACATTGCTTTCACCTTCTCTTACAACTATGTATGTGGCAATACAAAATGGAAACAAAACAGTATTTATATTTGCAAGGTTCGCTTCTTTTAACACTTTATACAGCATACAATATGAGACAATAGAAACCCTGACTCCCATTGCAAAATTTTCAAATTGGAGGGAATTCTAGAATTCATGTTCAGACTTCATGTTTGCTGCATGGCTTGTCTCCCAATGTCCAGAACACAGCCATGAATGAATATGGGGGGGGGGGTGTTCCTACTCCATTGGGTCCATTAGAAACAGTTAACCTCTATCTGATCTGATTCAGGATGTCCTGTTATTGAAGTTAGCTCTTTCTAATGGTCCCAATGGAGTACGTCCCCCCCCCCCCAAACAATCCCTACATCTGAGGACAAAGATCTTATTTTCAAAACAATTTTTTCAGGATACCAGATGATGGACAAAGTCCAAAAACTTAGTAATCCAGATTGCAATACACCATTGTCAGAACCCTTTACAATACAGATTGTGGTATTATGAGTCACTGCACTGCACCGCAGAGTCTTCTGTCTGTATACCAACATCTTGGAGTGATATGCTACCTCCAACTTCACTGTTTATTCCTAATGAACACAGCATGGTCCTCCAAAACATTAGAGTACAACCATAAGACTACACAGTGCTACAATCCAGAAGACGCACTGCACACTCATGGTGCTACAGGAACACCAAATTCTAAAAGGGAGCAATATTTAAATGTAAACAAATTTTACAACATATGTACGTACATAAGGCGCAGCAGTTTCTTTAGATAATGTATTTCATTTGCGCAACACTTCTCTCAGAGTTTGCAATCACCTTTTATCTACAGCACAACAAACTGTAGCCATCCACAAATGGATGGGAAAATTAATTTTTAGATATATACAAACGAAAATATTCAAGTTAAAAAACAGTGGGTTGAGGGGAAAGACACTGAATTAAATTGTTTTATGAACCCTCCACCACTCAATGTGATTTCCTAGTAATGAAATTATGTATAATACATCCTTCTTTTTTACAGTCTTTCAGTATATAATAGAATGTGAGCACTGCTTGGTTATCACACTACTAAATATATACACATGAACATCATAACATAAATGTGATATTCTCCACTGAAACAGTTGATAAATTTCATAAAATTGACTTCTCACATATTCATTGGCAGCAGGAGCAGAACCCTTCACACATTCTTGCAGAAAATACCACAGTTTTGGTACAGGTGAGAGTTAAGACTGAATTCAGGTAGGAACGTTGCAGAGCAGAGTATCCTATGCTGTCCTGGACATAGTACTGTTGTAATATTGCCACAGTGATGCGAGTATCATTCAGTCCTTATGGGACAAGTATAATGTGCACAAAACTTTATCTAATACTACAAAAGAGAAGTTCCCATACAAATACTGAGGCAGGATGTCACTACAGCACTACCACTGCACTACAACAAAGAGATACAGGGAACACTAGTTTATAACACATTTTCTGCACTTCATATTTTTATGAATACTGTACTTGTACTTCTTTAATAATATTCATTCTATTCGCTTTAAAAACATTTACTTCTGATGAAGCATTTTGTCCCAATATGTAATAATTTATAGCTTACATTTTGGAAGCTACCTAGATCATTATTACATATAAAAATGTATATTTATTATAAGTAAATTAATGTCCTGTTCAAAATACTACCCACATTCTTATTCAAGGAAACAGGCAGCTGCTACATTACCTTCATGTTGAGAAGAGGAGGAGGAGGAAAAGGAACCAAAACACAAACATACCTTAAAAAATCAAGAAAATGAAACAGCAATGCATACAGAACAAAGTATGTGTGTATGTGTACATAAAACAGAGCTATAACACCATCTGTCAGGTGAGAAAAAGAAATAAAAATTTTCTGACACAAAATATGGCCACTTTTTGCTGTGTCTGTGTGTTCACTATCTTCCACCTGTCCATTATCACAGTGTTACTCATTGACAATCCCAAAATGATTACTTCACAGCAGGTAGCTACAAACATGAATGAATAAAGTGCATTAACGACTGACAACCCAGCGCTCATCCTGCTTATCTGCTTCCCTCTTCACGTATCACTCACATGATCACTATGAAGAATATTAATACCAACATTATTTCACTGTTAATTTTTCATTTATTTTGTACGTGACAAACTCAGAACTTCGGAAAATATGGTATTTTCTTGAATACCCCACATACTGTTTTATAAAGAGAAGTGGGATGTGTGGATTATTTGTGATGAGGAATGCAACATTACTCTCACCAAGTGCCATTTTAACTTTGAAATCTATCTCTTTCATGTACCCACATGCCAATCCATGAGCAACAGCAGTTTATGAATGGATAGTAATCTGTGAGGTACTAATGCATGAACTCTGCTAAACAGAGCACCAAAGGCATGCACTATGTATTTTGTACACTTATACTTGACATGTATATTTTAATAAATTCATATAACTTTTTTACCTTTTATTTCTCAAAGAGCTGGGCATTAGGTTATCTAACGGTGCAGGGTACTCGAGAAAATTCAGTAGCATAAATCTGTATAGTCAATCAATGTCCAGACTATGTACACTACAGCATATTAAGAAAATAGTGCAGCACATGTTCAGATCACTTCACAGAAAACAATATAAACAAGAAATACATTAGATATTACACTTCTCAAAATGTATGATAAAACAAAACATTCATTACAATCCCCCCATTTAAATGAGCTCTTTTAATTCCTTTTGGTTGGTCCTGAGCTCATTACCTGATGTTACCTGTTTGGAAGTGTTAACTATGATGTCTACGTAATGATACTCGCACCATGGGAGCTTGGCAGGCCTGAGTTCCTACATCATCATAAAATGGATGTAATTAAGTACACTCTGCCTCCATGGAGCTGCCCAGCAATCAGACTGGCCATCATTAGGCCAAGATGGCACTTACTTGCCTTCCAATTGACTGAAGAACAATAGCATATGACTAACACCTACATGCTCCTCATGCGGCACAAGGTCACTGCCAACTCTCTGGCGGAAAATTATTCACCTCTGCTTGGTCCTGTATTGTTGTACCTCCTGCACTGTAAGATACTCGAATACGCATACGAAGGGCTGTCTGTAAGCAATCCAGACACAATGTCAACATGCAGATATTAATAGAGTATTAAAATGCACTGTCCCCATAAATAAATCTTACAGTATGGCAATATAAAAACAAAGCTTTGGGAAACAGCATATGGAATGGAATCATCAGACTACACATACAGTCAAGTAGTGGGGTAATCTGAACAAACAATGAAGCTTTAGGAGAACTATGGAGAACGCTTGTCACAAGATAAATCACCCTGGTGAAAACATCAATGATAATTATATACACTGCTTGATCAAAAGTATCCGGACAACCCTCTGTATACGTAAACTCGAGCCTAGATATCACTACGACCACCGCTGCTGCTATAAAAGGAGGCAGAGGGCTCGATGTTGTTCAGTGCTACGTGATACCGACAGAATGGGTGGAGCAAGGGAGCTCAGTGACTTCGAACGTGGTATGGTTATTGGTTGCCACATCAGTAAGCAATCAGTCAGGGCCATTTCCGCCCTTCTCAAGTTGCCCAAGTCGACCGTCGGGGACGTGATTGTGAAGTGGAAACGGGAAGACACAACCACAACAAAACCACGGCCGGGTAGACCACGTGTGTTGACCGACAGGGACCATCGAGCATTGAAGAAGGTGGTACGGGAAAATCGCATGTCATTGTGTGATACCATCACCCGTGAATTCCGCAGTGCCACTAATTGTGCACCTAGCACCATGACTGTGCGCCGGGAGTTACGAGGACTGGGGTTCAAAGCCCAGGCACCTGCCCATAAACCGCACATTTCGCCT